TGTTGTTTGCCTGTGTAGGTTGTCGGACCTGTAAAAGGTTTGTTTTTCTACTCGGACAATACGTTTCAAATTTAGGCAATCGGGCAATTCTGACTCATAAAAAGGCCGATGCAGGCAATAGTTTTTGGCATTCAATCAATTCATTCCGCGCCTTTCATTCGTTCAGTTACTTTCAGTTCCTTACAGTGTTCGAGTTGATTTATTCCGTGTTTTCATTCATTTTGGTTTAATTCATTCATTCAGTTACTTGCAATCAATACATTCAGTTCCTTTCAGTGTTTGTTATCAGTTCAATATTATCAGTGGATTAAATTTCTATTGTGTGTCAAGTCAACAGTTATTTTTATTTGTCAGTGTATTCGAATTTCTTTTCAACCTATCCAACCGACTACGCTGATGTTTCCAGATCCAACCAAATAGCTGCCGCGGCTTGGACTTCCAAAACAGATAACATTTTCATACAATATTAATTAGTGTTCATTTTGTTTTTTTCATTTATAAAATTTATATAGAATATATTTTAGTTTATTATTGATTACGGAGTAAGAAGAATTTTATTTTTAATTTATATTTGTTTACCATTGGTTTTTGTTTTCTGAATACATTTAATTTTTTTATTTTTCCTCGAAGTATAAAATACTTCGAAAGGGGTTGAGAAACCCCCCAACATCAACATTTGGTCCTTCGAGCCGGATCCTAATTATTATTAGGATTAATTGGGTGTATACAGAAAACAAAAATATATAATGGCGCCTAAAATCGATATTGGTGCAGAAATTGCACGTCTAACCGCCAAGAGAGAGATGTACTTTTCAATTGTGCAAGAAACGTACGATCTATCGCAACAGATTGATGTATCTTCAAATAAGACACAATTTCTTGAAAATTTATATATTACTGAAAATGCTCGTGAACAATTTATTCAATTGTGCGATGAAATAAACAAATTAAAATATTTAGATAATCCTAGTTTCATTCCGGAATATTCCGCAATAAAGGCCCTTGAAACGATGTATGCCAAAATAAAACACGCTGAGAAATTACTAGATAATAAAAATGCGCATAGTTCTTCAATTAAAGACATAGTACCCAAACAACATTTACCGTCCATTGAAGTACCTAAATTCTCAGGAGATATTCAACAATGGCCATTATTTTATGAAACATTCAATTCACTAATTCATGAAAATACCGAGTTAGATAATGTTTCAAAATTTCATTTTTTAAAAGGAGCGTTACAGGGTCCGGTTTTAAAAATATTTCATTCTATACTACCGACCGCAAATAATTATCAAATTCTTTGGAAGCGCTCATAAAAAAATACCAAAATAAACGGTACTTAGCCACAATTATTTCAAACAACTATTGTCATTCAAAACCATTTCATCTGGACAAATAAATTCATTCCTTGAAAAATTCGATACCGCGGTGCAAGCGCTCTCCCAATTGAATATTCCCGACGCCTATGATTTCCTTATTACGTCACTGGCATTCTCGAAACTCGATCCGTTGTTACAAGAAAAATTCGAGCATTTTTATCAAGGTGAGTTTCCCAAATACCAAGACCTCCTGCATTTTCTTCAAAAGTCACAACAGGCAAAAAATCAAGTATATGGTATGACCAACAATTTCACTAATGACAAACCCAATTACAAAAACACTAAAATTAGCCGGTCATTTTTGTTAAAAAATAAATATGATAACAAATGCTTTGTGTGTCGGGAACAACACAGAGTGTTTACTTGTTCGAAATTTCTTTCATTGAGTATACCTGATAGGCGATCCCTTATTCAAAAATTAAACTTATGCGACAATTGTTTGGGTCATAAGATAACGACTACGTGTCGATCGAATAAAACCTGTTTATTATGTAACGAACGACATCACTCGCTATTGCATACTGGTAGCAATTTTGCGAGTACGGATCAAAATAATCTTTCTAATTCCAAATCAGGTAGTACGGTTTTATGCGCATTTAATCAAAACAAAATCGCACATCATATTACCATATTGCCGACAGCAGTAGTAAAAGTTACTACTAGAAAAGAAAACATTTTATTACGTACAATTATTGATTCGGGAAGCGATAGAAATTTTGTGACATTAACTTGGTGCAAAAAGGCTGATTTACAAATTCTTCCAATATCAACCCAAGTGATCGGGTTAGGCAATTCGTCACATAAAGTTATTGGATTAGTTAATTTCACTTTGAAATCTTTAATTGATTCTTATCAGTTATCGGTCTGTGCATACGTAGTACACGAGATAGTGGGAAAGCAACCACAAATTACCATTCCGATTTCATCCATCAAAACATTTCTGAATTATCCTTTAGCGGATCCTAACTTTCATACACCCCAGGAGGTCGACGGAATTTTGGGTTGCGATGTTTTCGGCGAAATTCTTGGCACTAATCAAGTTAAAAATGATAAAGGATTACCTGTGGCCCTAGAAACCCGGTTGGGTTATTTAATATTAGGTTCCATTCCTGATTTATTTGAAAATACCGGCACTTCTACTAATTTATGTAATGTTTCAGATTCAGATTTCCATTTACAAATGAATAAATTCTTACAATTAGAAGACATTCCCGAAATAATCCTCTCTTCTAACGATGATTTATGCGAAAACCATTTTACTACAACTACTACGCGATCTCCAGATGGACGATATGTAGTAGCGCTGCCTTTTAAAAGTGAAGGCAGAAATTTATACAAATCATTTCATTTAGCCTTAAAGCGATACCACATGCTTGAAAATAAATTTTTGAAATATCCCGAATTTCATAAAAAATATGCCGCCGTTATAGAAGATTACCTGACTCAAAACCAATTATCCTTTGTCGATTATTGTCCGGTAGATCAGGAAGTCGATGATTTTATTAAAATAAAAAATGGATATTATATTCCTCATTTCGCAGTCGAAAAAGAAAGTTCCTCTACGCCTTTACGCGTGTGTTTGATGCATCTGCGAAAAATTCAGAATTCACTTCCTTGAACGAAATTTTGCATGTTGGTCCTAAATTACAAACCGACATTTGTTCAATCCTTCTAAATTTTCGTTTCGGGCCTATAGCATTAACAGCTGATATCAAACAAATGTATCGTAATATTTGGGTTCGTAAACAAGATAGAAAATATCAAAAAATCTTATGGAGACCGTTTCCCGATGCACCCATTGGCATCTATGAATTAAATACCGTAACTTTTGGTCTATCATCATCTCCCTTTCAAGCTATCAGAACCATCAAACAACTATCCCGAGACGAATGTTCCAAATATTCTCAATCTATTTCTAGAATTCTTGAGAACGATGTCTATATTGATGATGTGGTTACAAGTATCGACTCCTTGGATAGCGCTAAAACCATTTGCGAGGGTTTGCAGACTGTATTATCGTCTGGTGGTTTTGAATTAAAAAAGTGGGAATCTAATAATTCTAATCTGCGTAAACTTTTTTCTGATTCTGATGTACAAAATAAACATTTCTCTAAATCGGATTTTCAAATGGAATCTTCTACAAAGGTATTGGGATTAAAATGGGATCCCTTATCAGATAATTTTTCATTCGAAATAAAGCTTACGTGGAGAAAATGGACAAAGAGACAACTTCTTTCAGTAATAGCGCGAATCTGGGATCCTCTGGGTTTCCTAACTCCGATAGTTGTTAAGATAAAAATATTATTGAAAAAAATTTGGACATTAAAAATCGATTGGGATGAGGAATTACCATCATTTATTATTACATCATGGTTAGCCGTATATTCCGAATTAGAGCATCTTAATAACTATCAGATTCCGCGTTATCTCGAAACATCAAAACAAAACAAATGTTCATTATTTGGTTTCGCGGATAGTTCAGAGCAAGCGTATGGAGCGGTAGTTTATATTAAATCTCTTGGCAATCCGAATTTCTTGTTGATTTCAAAATCGCGTGTAACACCGATTAAAAACCAAACATTAGCCAGGCTTGAACTTTGTGCCTGTCATTTACTGTCAAAACTTCTGAATTTTATATTAACGAATAACCAACATAGTATAGATTTTGATTCTATTTACTGTTTTTCCGATTCTATGATTGTCCTTCACTGGTTAGCAGGACCGGCTACTCGTTGGAAAACATTTGTAGCCAATAGGGTAACAAAAATACGGGATCTCATTCCTAATGCACAATGGCTTCACATTCCTTCTAATCAAAATGCAGCCGATTGTGTTTCTCGAGGTCTTCGACCTAAGGATTTTATCCAACATAAGAATTGGTTGTTTGGGCCGGATTGGTTGAATGGTCCTATATCAACTTGGCCTGCAAAAACGGTTGAACCTTCCGGAGATATTGATCAAGAAAGAAAAGCTAACGCTCTAATAGTAAAGAGTGTCATACCACCGATCAATCCTTTATATGAATTAACGCAAAAATTTTCTAATTGGTGCAAACTTGTAAGAATTTTCGCTTATATATTGAAGTTTTGTAAAATTATAACAAATCGAAACCGACTTTTGACTTCAGATTTGAAACAAGCCGAGGTTATTATTATTCGTTAGTCCAAGAACATCATTTTCCCGAAGAATTCAAACTATTAACGAACGGAAAGTCTTGTTCGAAGAAGTTTTGCCGACTAAATGTGGTTTTGGATTCTAATAATTGTTTACGCGTTAAAGGTAGATTAGGATTAACAACTAATAACAATCCACTTCTTTTGCCAAAAAAAGACCAAGTAGTAAATTGTCTCATAGATTACTACCATATTAATAATTTACATACTGGATCAAACTTAGTATTATCTTTATTGAGGCAAAAATATTGGATCTTGTCGGCTCGTGCAATAATTCGCAATCGTCTTAACAAGTGTATAACTTGTTTTCGACAGAATCCGAAACCCATTTTTCCATTCATGGGCGACTTACCAGTACCGCGCATAACAGCCAGTAGAGCTTTCCTAAACGTCGGCGTTGATTATGCAGGCCCCTTCAATATCTCCATGAGTCGTCACAGAGGCGCTCGAACCTACAAGGCTTATATATGCTTGTTCATCTGTTTAGCCACTAAGGCGATACATCTCGAATTAGCTTCAGATTTAACAAGCGATACATTTTTAGATTGCTTGAAACGATTCCTAGCCCGGCGTGGTCCTATCAAATGTATTTACTCCGATTGTGGAACCAATTTTATAGGAGCCAAAAATACTCTTGATTCCTTATTCCTTCTCCTAAATTCCGAAGAGTATAAAAAGCGTTTCAATGAATTATTGGTTTTACATGACATTGAATGGAAATTTAATCCACCGTTTGCCCCACATTTTGGAGGTATATGGGAGGCGAATATTAAATCAGTGAAGACCCATTTGTTTAAAGTTATAGGGTTGCAAATTTTATCCTACGAAGAGTTTAATACAGTCCTCAATCAAATCGAAGCCTTACTGAATTCAAGACCGTTATGTTGGCTGAGCAATGATCCATCGGATCCTCAACCTCTTACGCCTGCGCACTTCTTAATGCAAGAGCCTCTGTCGGATTTGCCCGTTGACTATGAAAACTTGAATTTGACTAAAAGAAAACAATTGTTAGATCATATTGTCGCTTCTTACTGGAAGCGATGGAATGTGGAATATCTAACCGAGCTACAGGTCCGACAGAAATGGAATACAGTCACTAATCCTATTAAAAAGGGTGATTTGGTAGTTGTAAAACAAGAGAATGCGCGTCCGCTTCATTGGGGGTTGGGAAGAGTTGAAGAGGTTTTTCCGGGCCCTGATGGAGTGGTTCGAGTAGCATTGGTAAAAACGGAAATACCCTAATCAAGCGGCCTGTTGTCAAACTATGCCCCCTACCTATTCAATAGTTTATATCTGAATTATTCATTTCAAAAAAAAAAAACTTTTCTATCTCATGATATATTTGCTTCTATATATAGTTTTGCCAAATTTTCAATCTTCAGGGCGATGAGAACACCCCTCATAGTCTCTGGAAGATTCTTGTAAATGTCCAAAAAATCTAGACCCTGGCGCGAAAATAAAACTTCCGCAATCTAGATCGTGTGAATGTGGTAGGTCGTGAGAGGGGACCCTGGCGCGAGGTCAGGCTTCCGTAACCGATCTACTCTGAATGAAAGTTTGAATTTATTTTGGCAATTCTATCCTTCCTAATCATGAGGTTCACTATGTACCAATTTCGAGTATTTTCAGAAGTATAAAAGGCTAACCTTTTAGTCGGGGGAAAATGTTTGCGCCGCACCTGTGTAGGTTGTCGGACCTGTAAAAGGTTTGTTTTTCTACTCGGACAATACGTTTCAAATTTAGGCAATCGGGCAATTCTGACTCATAAAAAGGCCGATGCAGGCAATAGTTTTTGGCATTCAAATCAATTCATTCCGCGCCTTTCATTCGTTCAGTTACTTTCAGTTCCTTACAGTGTTCGAGTTGATTTATTCCGTGGTTTTCATTCATTTTGGTTTAATTCATTCATTCAGTTACTTGCAATCAATACATTCAGTTCCTTTCAGTGTTTGTTATCAGTTCAATATTATCAGTGGATTAAATTTCTATTGTGTGTCAAGTCAACAGTTATTTTTATTTGTCAGTGTATTCGAATTTCTTTTCAACCTATCCAACCGACTACGCTGATGTTTCCAGATCCAACCAAATAGCTGCCGCGGCTTGGACTTCCAAAACAGATAACATTTTCATACAATATTAATTAGTGTTCATTTTTGTTTTTTCATTTATATAAAATTTATATAGAATATATTTTAGTTTATTATTGATTACGGAGTAAGAAGAATTTTATTTTTAATTTATATTTGTTTACCATTGGTTTTTGTTTTCTGAATACATTTAATTTTTTTATTTTTCCTCGAAGTATAAAATACTTCGAAAGGGGTTGAGAAACCCCCCAACATCAACAATTATACATTTATAATTAACCAAAACTGGAAAAGTATTGTGAAACATTACCGATACTCATTCAAAGTTAGTAAACTACGATTAGAAGTAAGCTAGCATTTTTGAGACAAAAGACTAAATTTCAGTTGAACCTTCTACAGACACAAATACTTTTTTTCATCTTATCTTGTGCTATTTACAATTCTAACTGAACAAATATTGACCATATGAATTTCAGTCTATAGTAGGCATACGCACGTGAAAATTAAGTATGAACATAATAAAAATAGTGGATAGCAATTGAGATACCATAAAGGTTAAAACAGATTTCATCTATAAATAAACTGATTTTTATGTTACCGTTACCATTTTTGTAGACAACATAAAACATTTTTAGTGTTCCATAATTTGTATGCGCCGCGATCTATATTTTATTTGAATTCTTCTTAGTGCTTTCGCAGTATGAAGTTGCAATTCACTATATCCTTTTTTATATATCTCAGTATTTAGTTGGCAAACGCATCGTCTCGGGACTTTTATGCGAGCAACTAATATAAAATAAATTTCCGATTAAATATGAAGCGAATTCGAATCAACGAATATAAATCTTCAATCACGGCTTAGCCCGGAGCTCTTCGCGGATTACAATTTGCGCCCAGTATGTGGTACCACACGTTTTACATAACATGCCCGTGGCTGCCTATGCGATTAATTTGAAAATATTCTCATATTCACTTTTGATTCAAATTCCCGGTCCCAATGGGAATTTCATTCGATAATTACTTAATTGCAAACATACACAAGGGGCACGGCATTAGCAATACAAAATTATAACTGCTGTCTTAAAAATATTTACTAGACCAACATTTTATAAAGTTGAAATCCGCTTAAAAGATGCAAAACTTTCAAACTCAGTAAATAGCATTTAGGACAACAAATAAATGTTTAAAATCTTTAAAGTTTGATACTAAATTTTGGAAAATACTACTATAAATATAAATTTTAAATATAAATATTTTATATATAACATTATCTATAGTGAAAAGCATTTAGTAATACGTACTAAAAGTCGATCCAGCCGTTTCGGCGATACGAACCAAAAATGGCAGACAATGAAAACTCGAACATTTGAGAGAAAAGCGCATTTGATAAAAGTGATTCAAAACATTTGATTTTTATTAATGAGGATATGTGCCAATTATTTTTTGTGAAGACAGTTCCAGCCATTTCTGAGATACGGAGCAAAAAGTGAAAAAGTAGGAGTTATTGAAAGAACTGTTCATCTGATTAGAATAATTCAATAAACATTTCTTTGTGTTAATACTGTGAATAAAATATTAGTTTTTGAAGAGAACAAAAATTTTTTGTTCATTTTTTGGAAATCTGAAATGATTTTGATTTTAATTCTAATTTAGGCTAAAAACATTTAAAACTTCTCTACTATTTCACTATGGTAGTGGTTTGATTATAAACTGTAGCACATCACAAAAAACTAATAATACTATTAACATTGAAACTATTTTAATTAATTTTGGCGTTTACTAATCAAACATTTGATGGCTAACTTAAATTAAGTATGGGTCGCTTGTTGAAAATTATATATATATACTAGTTATATATATTATTAGAGTACCTACTTGCTTTTGTATAGGCAATACTAAAAAAACTACGTATCTATCACTTCACTCAATAAGTCCGTAGAATAACTAAGAAAAACCTATTTTTTTGGCTAAATTCTTTTTTCTATTCAATATAGTTTTCTTGAAAGACGATCTACCGATTATAGAAAACGTCGAACATTTCAAAACCATTTTTGTAGTACGATTTGTACTATGACACAAAATTCGGCTATCATCTCATCATTTGTCACAAATTTCTTTACATCGAGCATCTTTTTGAGATCTGACAACAGGATATGGTCGCTGGGAAACAGATCTAAAGAATATAGTGAGTGGGGAAGCAATTCGGAACCCAATTCATGTTTTTAGCCTCTGTTTTGGCGGATTTGTGACTTGGCGCGTTGTCTTGATGGAGCAGCACTGTTTTTCTTTTTTAAATAGGGCCATTTTTCCGATTTAAATTTTCCAATGGTCCAATAACGTTATGCAATATTCGTTGTTGATGATCTAGCCTTTCTCGAGATAGTTGATGAAGATCATTCTTTGCAAATCCCAAAAAACTGACGCCATAACCTTGCCTGCTGATCATTTGCAATTTTTCTCCTCATCGTGTCTAGTCCCCTCGTATCACTGTCTATTCGACTCCGAAGTGTAGTGGTAAAAACAGGTCACATTCATGGTAACATATTTATGCAAAAACTTAGTTTCATTTTCAGATCCAAATACTCTTCTTCAACTTGTTATGTTTTTGGTCAAATGTGAGTTCGCGCGGCACCCATTTAGCGGTGCCGCACAGAGCTTTTTCCTATTCAAATATGTGCGGACGATATGTCCAGAATGTTCTATTGATACCTTTAGGGTGTCAGCTGTCTCAAGCATTTTCACTTTTCGATTTTCCAAAACAGTTCGGTGGATTATTTTATATTTTTCGGGGTAACCAGCGCAATTTGGCCCTCTGGCCAAATTTTTGGTCTGTATGGTCATAATTAAAATCAGCAAACCACTTCTCCACCATTTGCCTCGATTTGGCAGAGTCCAGATAACA